CGTGTGAGATCAGGTCCGTGAAAGCAAGAAGACTTCGTGCTCGAATGACGACGACATTCACTGAGCACAAGATGGGCCATAAATCTGCATATCTTATGAAAGCTTTCTCTATCTGTATGCGCAACAGAAGCGAAGTAAAATAATAAGGAAGAGGATACTGTAGGTCGGCGTTTCTTTGGTTGCAAGTGTTGGATTTTTCAACGGGACTCCACACCGAGGCGCAAGGCTCCACGCTCAAAATCCTGATTCGCAGATGATTTAGCAGAAATTGCCAAGAAACATGAATGACCTCCGTGCAACCCTGACTGTAATACAATAACTGTTTGTGGAGTGTGCAAGAAGTGAAAGTCCGAAAACGATATCCAACGACCAGAATCAATCAAGGCTGCTGCTGAATGGGGAATGGAACAATGTCCCATCCGATTCCGAAAAGTGAACTCAAACTCAGATCGTCGAGAAAAGGGGGACGCATCGAAAACGTTCTGCGAATAGTTACAGTTCATCTTTGAGTCTCATTGAGACTCGTTTGATTCGATGGGAAGTTATTAGTACAGGAATTGCAAGACTTAAATTTGGTGTAAATATTTGTGCCCCACCCTGTTCATCGTGTCCATGTCCTTCTATTCACAAGGGCTTCTTTTGCTTGCCATGAGTAACCGATTTCATTCCATGTCTTCGCATGAAAAGCAAGAGGCGCACGGAGGTCACTTTGAGTGACGTTGATTGTGTGAAGACGATGAGTACGACTCCAGTCGGACCAGATGGCTGGCCGTGGGGAGACTGCTGGGCGTGAGGGGACTGTTGGCCGTGAGGAGGCTCTCACGGAGAGTCACGATTCCATCTTTCGTGCTTTTGTGCGGGAATTCGCCGCTGTTACGTCTTCAGAATTTTTCGCGCGGTGCCACTTACGACTGCAGAATTTTGGAATGTCTGCTCGGAGTTAAGCCGTTTCACGCACTTTCGATGGAATATAAGGCGAATAAAAGCTTCCATGACAGCCGTTCGCCTGCCATTTTTGGGCTTCTTCGTCGAAATCATCCAAACGTGCCATAACATTACTTCTGGAATTCTTGAAGCCGCACTATCATATCTCACAGTTGTAAGTTGTGACACTTTCTCATCTTCTTAAAATTAAGTAGCGCGCATCCATCATACTTGAATGCAATGAAGAATTTTCGCTCATCCGAATCGATCGACTCCGATATTCGGCACGAAGAATCTTCAGAAAGTAACAAGACGGGTTTTCTTTTACGATCGGACGAAACTCCATTTGGATACTCGAGTTGAGAATGTAGACCATGAGATTGGACGGGCCCATGCCATCGGGTCCGGCCACGAGAAGCCTTTCAGATGCGGTTTTTGGTACCCGGAGTGGCACGGTTGAGCCCTGAAGCCCATCGAGAAACATCGGTCGGCTTCGGGAAAGAACGGAGTCACACGGAAACAAGTTCTGTCGAGGACGGATTCGGTCCCAAATAAGTTTTCTTTTCCGTTCTCTCGGTGCTGCTTCCGTCCCGAAGAATGAAGTTGGAAAACTAGTTGGAGGATTTCGGTCCCAATTCGTCGGTACCGGTGCCGTTGCTCGTCCAACGGTCGAGTGGTGATGTTTCACGATTATGCGAGGATTCTTCATGATCCTGGCTTCCTATGTCTAAAAATCGTCAAATATTATACAGCGAGCCAAGCCAAGAAATCCTATAACGGGGGGGGGGGATTTTCCGCGGGAAAATTGCAGACATGAGTTCATAAAAGCTTCTTGGGAAAAAAATATGGCCAAATAACAGCAAATATGACCAAAATAAGACCTCACGTATGAAATAGGACCTAATATGACGAAATGGGCCCATTCCGCTTCCGCTGATGCCAGGAATTCTTCCAGCATTCGTGAATGCATGTGCAGGGAAGGAGAAAAAAACGTGACTTAGCCTAGAAATCCGCCCTTTAGTGATGAAGCAACCTTTGCACTAGGGCGTGAAAGTCTCTGCTACTATCGATCGGTACTTTCTACGGGAATTGGTTTTTTGCCGAGTTGGACTGCATGGAGCCAGCTTTCACCGTCATGAAAAATATATGGGAGTTGTCTTGAAGTATAACATTTCTTGAAATTCGCGTCACATTCTCTTCCGAGCCGACTCACGGAATTTATTTCACTCTCTGTCAACAGTGGTTAATGCCTGCGAAGAAAGAGAAAAAGGGGGAAAAAGGAGGAAAAGAAGAAAAAGGAGCCGGATTTGTGTTGGGTCTCTCGATGGAAACTCAGCAGGGAGTTAAGAGGATTTGAGATGTCAGCTCTGAAGAAAGTGCAACACGAGTCTCGAGAACGGTATGTCGAAGCCGAATTGATTGCATCCTTACCTGGAACGTCCGGGTCCCGGCGAAGTGCACTTTTTCAACTCGATCCCCTTGGGGCAACGCATTTCTCCCGTCGAAGCATCCATGCATCATTTGCGTCTGGCACATTTCCCGACGTGCGTGGAGGCTTCTTCGTCACGGCTGCATTCAGATCCGTATTGGCACGGAATCTCTGTCCTTTCGACTTGCTCTTCGGTTTTTGACAGAAGAAAAAGTCTCCAGTTAGGTCAGAGGAACGAGTGGGATGTAGTGGGGGTTCAGCTGCAGCTAAAGCACTCTTTTTTTTTTTTTTTTTTTTTTTTTGCAATGCCTTGCATCGTCGTGAAGCAGGAACCGCGTCGCTCGCAAGATCTTTTGCGGTGTTCGGCGTAGCTTTTGTTGCGTTATACATCGCACCTGTAATTGTGAATCCCGGTTCCCCGAAATGTGTGCAGAAACCGATTACATTTAAGGTAATTTCAGGGGTAACCATGTAATTTGCAGGGCAAGTAACGGAACCAGTAAGAGCTATTCAAAGAAAAAGTCAGTGGCACTTAGTGGCGTTACCGTAACGAATCACTTTTCGGTTAAAAATACAACTTTAGGGGAAAGTGACCAGCGCAACATTATTACATTCATCTCTGCCATCATTGATTTCTCTTGCAAAGCTGAAAATCACAGCGGTTCGTGATAAATGATCACTGCCTTACAGCGTTCATTTCACAAAAAGTGTCTGCTGCAGACTTCTCACGCCTGACGTATCGCGAACCACGCACCTCGGCAAACGCGGCAGCGTTGGACTGCGTTCTGGGAATGTCAGCCTTCAGTGTTGAAGATTCAAGTCTATCTTTGCATGAATATAACCAGCAAACAGCAGTGCTTGATGAACATTTAGAGTTTATTATCTGAGCGTTTCTGTGTTGAGAGCTGTACCATACCATAAAACGAACGTTGGCATAACGTTACAAATTTTTCGCTTTTACAAGCTTTTTACAAGCGCTCGAGCAACGTTAACGAAAACATGTGAGAACCGCTACTAAAACTTTCATTTATAATACTTCCAATGCTGTTAACGTTTCGCGTCCAAGAGGGACAACGAGTAAGCCATCTAGCAGTTGTTCAAGGAAGCATTGCTTCGACGCCCAATGCTAGATGACGCCTAAATCACTAAAGCAACAAGTCCATGCTTCATGCTCCTGGAATAAGTCTCATGCGGAACCAAGTCATTTTTCATTCATAACTTAGGGAAGGCACTGGAATTTCTTGATAAAATACCATTTACCATGCCTACAAAATGTACAACTAAAATGGTAATCTAAGCTAAGGAGATTTCGAACGATTGTGGCCCTGATGGAGTCGTCGATGGTTCGACCAGCAAACTCACCTGGAGGCAAGCTAGGACTCGATGAGACTGAAAAGCATCTTATCCGACTCCGGAGACTATTTTTTACTTCTCTGCTGCTGAGAATGAAGGTTAGGATGTGATCATCCGAAACATCTTTTCTTGCATTTCCTGCTCGCGATAAGAACCACAACTAGTATTTTGGTAATGATAATGGCATTGGTCCTGTGAAGGAAGTTCTGGTCTTTCAAGTCACTAAAGAAAAGGCGCAGTACATACTGAAGTGCTTCCAATCAGACCGAGTGAGAACGTTCGTCAGAGTGTCTCAATAAAAAATTTTTACAATATAGGCCCAATGCTCAGATCCCAATCCCAGCTTTAGGAAGGGGGAAATGAATACTCATGTAGCGTTGATAGAATGTGCGGCCAACGTTGAACTCCAACGTTCACCAGAGTGTTACGATAAGCGACGTTACAATATTCACTTGGTGTTATGATGTAACTCTACCCTAACGATGAGAAAGTTCCAATTTGAAGACTGTGAACCACTTATTCATTCATAAGGATTCAGGATTCATAAGTTCACCGGGATAGTTGTTTTTTTCCAAGATGCTTCCGTCACGACGGATGTGACATGCAAGTGTCTTTCAAGAAATACCTTTAAGTCACGCAGGAATAAATCTATTTGACAGAAGCTTCGCATACGAAATATCCAGGAGTGCTTGCATCAGCGTTCGTCGTAAGTTCGCGATTTGGCCTGTAGGAGCAATGCAGTGTCGTCTGTTTCGATACTTTGAAGGAAAACCCTCGTGTTTGAGAACTTTAGTTGAAAGTGCCTTTCGATGAAGTGGCGGAAATTCAGGATTTTCTTGAGAATCCTTAGGATAATATTGCTTGACCTACAACGTCACACTTCGCTAACATTTACAAGGATGTCCCAAAACGGAGGGAAGCACTCAAATTCCTTTCACGATTCATTCTACGGTAAAATAATAATGAGAATAGGAATAAGAATAGCAGCCATGTTATCTCTCTTCCAGACTTGACGGGGGGCCAGCCATTCCTTCTCCTCCGGCAGTGATCCTCTCTTTAGATGATTGACACCTGACGTCAGAAACAATGTTGGAAGCCTAGATTTCTACTGACTGTCTAGCGAGAGACTTTGAATAGCTCGAAGTGGAATTCGTGCATTATTTCTTCCACGCTCTAGATGTTCCTGGATTAAAAAGACCTGATATGGGGAAGGGATGCGTAACGTATCGTAATGAAACACCCCAGTACACCATATCGATTCGAAGGCAATTTGCCAAGAGTCGTTCATGACGAAATGAGCGTATGGTATTTTTAAGCAGGTCAAGATCATCTCCGCCTAGAAACACAAACAAATTGTAAGAGATACGTTTGGACACTAGATGTCATCCTTGGAACTCATGGATCTTGGGAGCCATGCGTGCATGCCATGCCCATGCTATGTGGATGCAGTCCTCCTCGACCTCGGCCACTCGAGCAAATCGTGATGTAATCTTATCCCCCCCTCTCTTCATTTCTAATTGGCTCTTGGATGTACCCACTACGAGCTGGTCTGGTTATGGTTTATACTCAGCAGATCAAAAGTCTTGTTGTAGCTTCGGCTAAACTAAGCGCAGCATTACGAAAATCTTGCTAGCCTATCAAGGATATATATTGACACCCAACCAGAGCCTAGGCTTAGGCCTTGTTATTGAATTGCCACCTATTTATCGAGCCAGTCCTGAAGGGCTAGCTCGATATATAGGTAGTACAAGGATTAGTCAAAGCAGGTCTGATGTCAGGCCCCAAAGCAGAGAAAAACTGGTCAGTTGTAAATTATATGGATTGAATGGATTAAATTAGAAATTGTATTATACCCAGGCTAATGTAGCATTTGAATCTATACCTATTCTAAGATAGGGTGACCAGATTGTTTTCAAGAAAAACTGGGTCATTTTCAAGGAAATGCTAGAATGTTCGCCCCTGCAGAGAAAAAAAAAAAAAAAGGAACAACCAGATGTAAAGGAAAATTCAAACTGGGACATAACCTGAAAAACTAGAACATCTGGCCACCCTATTCTAAGACTTAACAGCCTTAAGGAGAGTTCAAATTGATGGAAGTCATAATATGTCATGAAATGCATCGCACTAGATTGAAATCAAGATGAACTTAAAGCTTGTTTAAAAATAAAAAAAGACTATACAAGTGAGATTGGGAAGTATGGAACATAGAATACTATTTTCAGCAGTTCATGTTTGTTGGCATTCTTGAAGAATTCCATATGTTTGCTTGGTGGAGGAAATATGGTGGCTGCTTTTTGCAGTCCTTGCAGCAAGCACAAGTCAACAAGAAGTTTGTTTCAGTCAATATTCAATCATGATTCAACTTACAGCTCATCGCCAAGCTATCAAGATCAAAGAACCCTTCCAGACCACAAGTTGCTCATGAAGATTGGAACCAAAATTGTATCACCTTTCCTCCCAGGTGTGCACATGGGATTATGAAAGGAAGGGTCATTGAACTATTGAAAAGACAAGAAATAGGTTTTTTTTTCACATTCTTGCATCAGATCAAGTGACATCACATCTTGAGCTGTTGGGAGCCAGAACATTCTTCACCAAACTCTTAGCATTTACTTGGCTGCATAACATTTTTCTTTATTGAGTGAAACTGAAATAATCCTGACTTCCCAGCATTCTTTTTAGCTGAAAGATAAGAACCTAGGAGAGTTAGCTACCATAATATATATATCTAAATAAGAATTCTGCTAATTTATCACTTGAAAAGTGTCCTTCATGCATAATTGCTGTTTCAGTTGAGTTTGACCCCTTCTCAGTTGATTCCACCACTTATGCATGGGGAGGAGGCATCTTAGCCTCTACCCATGTAAATGTTTGGAGCATAAGCAGTGAGTGATGTATTGAAAACCTTGAGGGAAGGGCTCAGAAACCATTCCTCTGTAAACTGTTGACACTTCTCATCCCATCATCCTCTAATATTATGTGGTCAGTTCAGAAACTATTAGACTGATGAAGCATAAGGAGATAATGAGGGTGCACCCTGTGGCACTCCTCCAAGCTGCTAGTATAAAGCTAGTGCAAAGCAGAGAAAGGATGAAAGTATTTCCATTCATATGGTAGTTGTGGCTTCAAAAAGTGGTCTTCCTTGGACTATTTCAGAAATTTGTAAGGCATTCTATGCAGGAATACCAACAAGCATCATGGTTTTTGGATGAAAAGAATTGTAATCCACTCTCTAAAATAAAAAAAATCAGCAATAATGCTGCTGTACTCTTAAGAAACCAATCTCAACATACAACAGATGGTAATGTAAAAGTTCTTCTTACTATGAACTATGCAATGAATATTAGAGTTAATGGTAATAATTAGCAATGAGATTAAAAGCAGATATCCAGGCACTACCCTGGCATAGATATGAAATTTCCTCTTGGGATCAACCATAATTTGATGGGCCATGAAGCATACATGGAAACCAGCAAAATGTGCACCTTAAAACAAAATGCCACAAAAACATGAGAAAAGTGTGATACCCGAAGGGATTTCTGATAAGAGGAGTGATGAAAGAGAGAAGCCTAGCATGATGCATGGAATTTTTATCCTTTTTTTGTTGATTTCCTGGAAGGGCCAAAATCTCCTTGAGATATAAGATGTCAGCATTTCACTAGGTTTGCAAATTGCAGGTCCCCTTTGGTTAAGATTAGGCTTCTTCTGCCAATATGAACATTAATCCATTATGTCCTAATTTCACACTACCTTGGGATAGAATAGGAAGAGAATAGGTGATGGTGGAAAGACAGGTGTCGAGGTTGGGGTCACGTTGCCCAGAACTCCATTTGCTCCCTTGTAGGCCATTGAGTCTCACTCAGGGAAAATGTGCAAGAAATATGGAACTGCTCTTTATATGTATGTATTCAGTTTCAATGAAGCTAGAGATATATTAGGGACAGCTCCATGCAGTAGACTAGCAGTCACCAATTATATCATTTTTCTAACTTATCATACTTATATAAGTCTACCTTGAGTGCATTAAAGTTGAATGAAGAATGTTAGACTTGACTCTGGAACAGCATGAAAATAGATTTATCATTAAGCTACCTAAGACTAACAAAATTTATGAATATTTGCCTGTCTTCAGGACAATTATGCCCAACTTTTCATAGGATTGAATCATGGCCCCTGTGCTATCCAAGTTTTCAAGTGATCCAGCAATTTTTGGAGTCAAGAGACTCTATTGGACCAGGAGCCTGGCTTCAGCTGCAGTGGCACTCTATGTATACAAAATTGGCATTCCTGTTGTGAAGCGAGTCATCTGGAAGGATGAATCGCAGCTGAAACCAGGCAGAAGGGATTTTTTGTCCAAAGATTATCAAGATGATGCCACCAGAGCCCAAGTTCATGAGGTTAAGAAATGCGATGACGGAAGTGAGGTGAATGAAGAAACGAAGCAAGACTACAATGATGTGCATCAATGTGCTGAGCCATCGCACTTTGACTCAATGAGGACTGATGGAACTACCAAGCACAGATATGGTGTGGATAAAGTCTTCATCAAGCAGCTGTTGTTCCTCCTCAAGATCATGATACCCAGTGTCTGGTCTCCTGAAGCAGGCCTCTTGTTTTTGCACACCTTGACCCTGATAGCAAGGTCTTTCCTTTCAATATATGTGGCCAATGTGGAAGGCCGGGTAGTGCAGTTCATTGTAAGAAAGGATATTCGCAATTTTTTGTTGATGCTGCTCCAGTTCATAGGTGTTGCTTTGCCAGCCACATTTGTGAATTCAACTATTCGTTTTCTTGAAAGTCGCTTGACATTGGCATTTCAATCCCGCTTGGTCATGTACACATACAACTTATACTTCAAGAATCAAACTTACTATCGTGTGTCTAACCTGGACTCCAGATTAGAGAATGCTGATCACTGCTTGACAGAAGACATATCTGAATTTTGTGGAAGTGTGGCTCATCTCTACTCACACATCACAAAGCCTCTTCTTGACTGTACAATCATCACATGGACTCTAGCTCAGATGACTTGGGGGATTGGTGGCAGTGCCTTGCCAGGTACAGAAAATACAGTTCAGCTTGTATGTTCAGTTGGGTTAGTGTTGAATCAAATCAGAGATTATGTAGTATGATTTGTCTTTATTTTATAGGATGGGTGATATCAACAGTGGTGATTGGACTCACAGGGCAGATCCTCCGTTTCATATCTCCCAATTTTGGGAAATTAATTGCAGAGAACTCTGCTCTGAAGGCATATCTTCGTTATATTCATTCCCGCATCATTGCCAATGCAGAAGAAATTGCCTTCTACCAAGGGCATGAGGTTAGGTTCTATATTATTTATGCTGTAACAGCAATTTTAAATAAGAATTGGATTGCAGATGACAATAGCTTACCTCTGTTATGAATCTGAATGATCTGAATCTGGAATGAATGAATGATCTGGAAAAAATTTCACCATGAATGGTTGTCGGAAAAATATGTACTTTTTATGGAGAAATCTAGACTCTAGGAATTTGCAATTTAGATCTTAACCTCTTAGGGTTTGCCTTGGTGACAAGAAAGTTGCCTTATGTTGACCTAGATGACCAACAACAAGATTGATGATTGTGAAGATGCCATTAAATGGGAACTGGCTGGTTGATTTGAAGTTTTGGAAGTTCCTTTTCATTATTTATGAAATGATGAAGTAATATCAATTCAAACAGAAATAATCTTGACATGTGAGAAAATCAGAGTGAGAATCAGTTGTGGAATTTCAAGCTTAGCACCATTCTTATTTCCAGAAGGCTTGTTCTTCCATCCTTCTGAGAGCATGACCTCACTTGATTGGTACTCATTTGTGTTTCATCACATGTCCTTTCAGCATCTGTTGTAGTTTTCAAGGAATGTCTTGACCTATTTTCAGAAGTGATTGTTAAAAACCATATTCTCTCTATTAGGCAGAGCATGGCCTCCTGAAGCGAGCATATTTGGCGATGATAAGGCACATGCATCTTATTCATGAAAAGCGTCTCTGGTACATCATGATTGAGCAGTTTCTCATGAAGTATGTATGGGGTGCTGCTGGGCTCATCATGGTGTCCATCCCTCTCCTCACAGCCAGCAAAGATCTCTCTCATGCAAGTAAGAAACATTTCACTAGGATTAGTCATATGTCATTGATAGATTGTATTAAAGTGCCGTAATTCATGAATGTGATCTCATCGTGAATATTGTAGGAGATGAGGGAGTGAGTGAGAGAACAAGGATATTCACAACAGCCAGGAACCTTCTAGTCTCTGGTGCTGATGCAGTTGAGAGGCTTATGTCATCCTATAAGGTGAGATGTTTACATGTTATCATCATCATCAGTCCTTCTCGATCCACTGCAGGATGAAGGCTCCCCAAGAAGCTTCCCTTTTTTCCTGGTCCTTGGCTGTTCGTTTCCACATTGGTCCAGCGAAATTCTTGATTTTGTCAATCCATCTCTTGTTGGGGGCATCGTTTAGGTTTCTTCTTATCCCTTAGTATCCATTTGAGGATTTCTGTCGCCCATCGCTGGTCTGTTCTTCTTGCAGTGTGACCACCCCACTGCCATTTTAGTTTTTTCGTTCTTTCAATGATGTTGCTCACCTTCATCTGTGCTCTGACCCATTCTTTTTCCTGTCTCTTCTTGTGACTCCCAGCATGCACCTCTCCATGCTACATTGAGTTGTCTGTAGTTTCTTTATCATTTTTGCCGTCAGTGAAGGGCTCCTTGGAGACGATTAGTTAGTACTTTTGTAAACACTTTGTATAGGAGAGGTAATAGACTGATGGGTCTGTAATTCTTCAGGCCTTCTCTGTCCCCTTTCTTGTGAAGGAGGATTACGGTAGTTCTGTTCCATGATTCTGGGATTGTCTTTTTGCGTAGGCATGCAGTGAAGAGCTTTGCAAGTATATTGCTTGTTTCTTCTCCTGTTTCTTTGAGGATGTCTATCATGATTCCATCATCTCCTGGTGATTTGCCATTTCTCATTGATTTGATGGTGTGTGCAACTTCTTTAGGAAGGACATTTGGAACTGGGATGCTACACTATGGCTGTTCCTCTTCATCCTCACAGTTTTTGTCCTGGTGTTTGCTGTATAGGGAGGTGTAAAACTCTTCAACCCTCTTGATGATGATGTCTCTGTTTTTGTCATCATCCCATTTTTTTCATTCAGAGCCATGAATTGGTTCTTGCCAATCATTAAACGCTGTTTGGCTTTCTTGAGGCTTTTGTTTCCTTCAATGGTTTCCTTGATGAGGTCACAGTTAAATTCCCTGTCATCAGTGATGTGCTTTCGCATAGTTTTGCAGAGCTCGATGAACTTGATCTTCGTTTTTGAATCTTGAGCCTTCATTTCCTTGCATTTCTTTATGAGTTCTCGTGTCTCTTCTGTTCTTGTCTTGTTGGAGTTTGACAGTTCTGCCAATGACTTGTGCATACTCCATGATACTCTGCGTGATATTATTGGTTGCCGTTGTTAGGTCGGAGGAATCCATGCAGAGAGATCTTGAAGGGCACTGAACCGATTTTTGAGTTCCAACTGGAATGTCACCTTTTCTTTCTTGAGGTTTGTGATGTTGATTCATTTGTGGGTTTTTTTCATCATCTTTCTTCTCTCCATTTTGAAGTCTAGATACACCTTGCTTCTTACCATCTGGTGATCACTGCTCGTGTTGAAGCTGTTAAGGACGGTACAGTCTTCCATTATATACTTCTTGTTGGTGAGGATGTAGTCAATCTCACTGGCGTTTCCTTTCGGGCTTCTCCAGGTCCATTTCCTGTTATGTCTCTTCTGGAAGAACAAGTTCATGATAAATAGATTTGTATTTTAGGCGAACTCAACCATCCTGTCTCCTCTTTCATCTCTAGTGCCATGTCCAAATTTACCAACAGACATCTTGACATGACATGTTTACATGTATTATTTATTATATTGTGAATGATGTGTTTTTGTATTGCTTACTACCCTTATGATTTCAGTCATTCTTAAATTTTTTCATTTGCTATTTTAGCTAGGTGCCTATTTGTGGTCAACTCAGATTTTCTACCATTCTAAAAACCCATGCTAAGAATTAATATACTTGACTTTGGCTGATAAATGTGTGCAAAGTATTCAGCAGTCTAGGATATGAATATCTGATGCATGTTGTTAGGATGGCAGAAGATGCAAACTCCTCCCCTCTACCCAATATTCCTTTATTTCCCCTGTCCCTCTGCCCTTTAAGAATGCTGCTATTTTTATGATTACTTGAGAAATTTGCTCAATTTTTTGTTCCCTGTTTCCTTTTGAACAAGATAAAAATATCTGTTTTACATAATAGGAGATCACAGAGCTGGCTGGTTATACAGCACGTGTGACAACAATGATCCGTGTCTTCCGTGACATGAGCCTAGAGAAATATGAGAGACCATCAGCCATCTCTCCTCGAAGCCACAAAGCTGCCATCGACATTGGACTTACCATCATCAATGGTACTCCTCGTATTGAAGGTGGGAGAACTTATAACCAGTTTTTGTTCTCATATGAGGGAAAGTCAGTAAGTAAAGCTTATTTATTTTGTGCACAACTTGAGCACTCAATACAGACATTGTGATGGATCCTTTGCCTTGTTGGCCTTGTACTGAGGAAACTCAATAGTTTGAATTCTGATATTTTGAAATATTACCTCCAAGTTCTTAGTTTGGTCTTGGTAGAATTGTATATGAGATGATATGAAATATTATATTTTATGAAATATAAAATATTCAAACTCACTTTCTTCAAAATCCCTTTTTTTTATCTTAAGTCAAATTTTCATATATATATATATAGACGATTGTGACTGACTGACTGATGCTAATTCTAACCATGTTCTAGAGAAGTTAGAAATCTGAAACTTGGTGCACATGTACCTTTTGGGGTGCAGAGTTCAGAAAAAAATCAGACTTTGGAGGTATATGCCCTGGGGGCACCCAATATGGGGGGAGATGTTTTCAATGATATATATTTGCTTCAGTCAAACAGAGAGACATGGAAAACTGAAACGTGACATGGACGTACCTACTGAGACTCTGAGTTCAGGAAAAATGTCAAGTCTTGGATACATGCCCTGGGGGCATATTTTTTTTGAAAAGGTACTTTTTCCAGAAACTTTTCTGATTCAATGAAGGAGAGAATTAAAGAAAGTTTATGCTTGGAGCAGAAGTACTTATTTGATTACTAGGGATGCACCGATCCAGGATTAGCTGATATTGATACTGATACCGATCTCAGTGTCATGGTGTTGACTGATACTGATACCGATACCAATCCAGATAAGTCCCAGTGGCTGTCAGAAATGAAACCACAATACAGCACGAGACCTTAGTAGGCCTTATGCTACCTTTGACATAGAAGGGAAGAAGTAAAAAATCCTCAGACACTAATGACCCAGCATTCGAAGTTCCTGTCATTTATTTAGTTTTGGAGACATTTATGTCAGCAATATGTTTGCTTCTTGAGTATAGGCCAAAACTTTGACCACCATTCACCAGGCCCACCAAGAATACGTCGGACGTAAGTACTATGTACAAAGGACGATCAGTGCGAAGAGGAGTACAGGTAAGAACTACATATAATGTCCTTAAGGGATTAAGGAGTTAATGCAACTACTGTACAACCGGGATCGGTGCTCAAGGGGAAAGCTGAAGGTGGGATGGACATGAGCACAATGTGTGTCTGCACCAACCAGTCAGTGTAGGAAGGCAAGAGATGGGACGGAAGGGGGGAAAGTGAAGGAATGAATGTGCACATGAATGATGCTGGCCCATTCCATTCGTACAATGCCCTTCTCAAATCTCTCGCATTCCAGTTTAACCATGCTCAAGCTCATTGTCCATCAGTTGGAGATTAAAAAAGAACCATGACGGACATAAGGAGCCAAATCCTATTACAAGTGTGGTTTTTTTCATGAGACGTTCCAAAAAATTACACGCTGCGCATTAAGCACAGCGTGTGGCGAGGAAGAATCAGATCAGATTGGCTATTAAGGTATCAGCCGATACCGATCCTGGCCAATCCACTTGGTATCAGTCGATACCAATACTTTGGATCGGTATCGGTGCATCCCCATTGATTACTGAGTATATGTCCTACTTTTCAAATATATATATATATATTATTATTTTTTGCTTGAAGTTCAACATGGGGACTGTAAAGAATTAAAATTACCTTTTAACCATGGTTCTTCTGGTCTCATTGATTACCTGAATGGGTAAAAAGAAAGGCATGTGGTGCCATGTATGCAAGGGGAACATATATTTTTGCTTTCCTCCCTTTTTTTTTCTGATGCTTGTGGAAAGGATTAGCCCTTGGACATAGTATATATCCCACAAGTTATTCCATTCCATCCCTGACTTTAGTCAATAAAAATGCAATCACTGAGTGGAAAACATAATTTAAAATGCGATAAACATCCTTAACAGACATATGACTCAACTCTTAAAAGAAAACATTTTGATATGTGCCTCAGTATTGCCAACAAAAGGTCCATCCCTGGCACTTGACAGTTTACTAACTGTTGATTTTATTGACTCTGAACCGTCCAGAAGTTAAAACTGGGTCTTCAGTGATAAAAAGATAATAATGAGGCATGTTCTGCCTGTTCATCACTATCTTGGTACCTTTTCTGCCTGCATCTGTTTCAGTGAATAAAAGTGAGATACCAGACAGTTGCTCAATAAATTAAATTATATAAAATCAATTTAATTTTTATGTATAATAATTATATGATGGCAGAAAATGCTTTTGTCCATTTTCCTTGTCTCTGCAAAAAGACTTTTGAAAAACTCATGAGAATCTGAAGATAGCATTTTAAAATGTCTAGATCACTGAATATGCAGATGTCAATGTCATCCTATCACTTGAATATCATCAATCATTGCCATTCTTTGCACACAACATTTCATGTGGAATTTATGACTTAAGAACATGTAGTGATGCAAGTTGAAGCCTCACCACTAGTCAAGATTGGCAAACACAGCCTGTCTATGAAAATAGGAGCAGGACTTCACTGGCCACAATATGTTGGCACACTGCCAAGTGCACATAACAAGTGCTTGCTAGGGAGGGCTTTCTCTGTCAATGCAAGTTTTCTAACTGGATGGTTAAAAAATTCTTGTATCTATGGATTCTTATGGCTAAAATTCAATTATTTTTCAGAGAAATAAGAACAATGAATGTTTAGCAGAAAAATTTTTTTTTTAATGCACAAGGCAGTAGTGAATGCTTTGAAATTGCACTTTGGGTACTTCTCTACATTAATACTGTATCTGCATGTGCACATGCCTGTATTAATACTTAAGTTTGCCTTATAAATGGAATTTTTTATTTAGGCTTGGTGGAGAACAGTCCAGACAACACAATCGTGTTAGAGGGAGTGCCCGTTGTGACCCCAAACTGTGATGTGGTTGTCCCAAGTCTGACAATCACTGTCTCTCCCTTGATGCATCTATTAATTTCTGGACCCAATGGCTGTGGGAAGAGCTCCCTCTTCCGCATCATCTCTGGCCTTTGGCCTGCTTATAAGGGACACCTGCGTCGCCCACCTCCGTCATCACTCTTTTATATTCCACAGAGGTGAGTTCTGCAAGTTCATTAATCATACAAGAATTTCCTTGCAATTTTCTTAAAACTTAGTTTCAACTAAGTGTTATGGTAGGTTACTGGATCTTGTCAAAAAGTGTGACCTCATGGTTATATCAGCTCTGATGCATTTGTCAAAAAATGAAAAGGTCCACATTGTGTTGGAAAGCTTAGGAATGTCCTCCACATGATGTTTCTACTTTTTGATAGCAAAATTTGTCGGAAAAATTCCTTTAGGGATGTCTTGATCTCTTGTGTTTAGAATCACTGGGGTAACTGCATAACTCTCATATTCATGCTTGACAGGACCAACCATTTCCTCCCCCAGATATTCACACTTTGATATTGAAGCTCGAGCTCCCAGCCTCCAATGGAAATCTCTCCAATCCAAAAGCAAGAGAAGGAAAAAAAATTCCCATTGATTTGCATTTTGAGCCCCAGACCCAAATGGACAGTCAGTAACCATAGGTCTCAAATCCATGCATCTCATTGACAGAGTCTTTGTTGACTCCAATAAAGCAAAGGGTGAACTTCTTGAACTTTGAAGATTCACCATTTGAGAACAAGAAATTTTCAGGAGTTTTGAGTGCTGATATGCACTTACTCCACTTCACTATACATCTTGTCATGTCCTCAGAGTCCTAATGAATTGGGAAAAAGGGGATAGTGCAGATTTATTTTCAGTTTCTTATGGTAAGCAATCTTCCTATACTGTGTATGAGTTTGAGTGTATTTCATCATCAGGCCATACATGTCAATTGGGAGCCTTCGGGACCAGGTGATCTACCCAGATACTAAGGAGGAGATGGAACGAAAGGGGTTCTCAGACTCAGACCTGGAAAAGATGTTAGACCTGGTTCACCTGAGACACCTAGTGAATCGAGAAAGGAGCTGGGATGCCATTCGTGATTGGAAGGATGTTCTCAGTGGGGGTGAGAAACAGCGCATGGGCATGGCACGTATCTTCTACCACAGGTCTCTTTCTGTTTCATCATTTTACTACCACTACTACTCATCTCACAATTTCCCTTGTCTTTTCATGATGATCTCTGTTTCATCATGCATTTGCATTGTAGGCCAGTATATGCATTACTGGATGAGTGCACAAGTGCAGTGAGCATTGATGTGGAGAGTTCCATCTATCAAGCTGCTAAGGACATTGGGATCACCCTTCTCACCATCACCCATCGTCCATCTCTTTGGTCAGTATTCTTTCAGTTTTCCAATATGTTGTTAGCTTCTACAGGATGTATGAAGGGTTTTTTTCACTACAGGAGGTTTCATACACATGTACTCCAATTTGATGGGGAGGGTGGATGGCGCATGGAGCCATTGGACACAAGCACTCGCCTCACTCTGAGGGAGGAGAAGGAGAAGCTTGAGAGCCAGTTAGCCGGCATTCCACAGATGCAGGAGCGTCTCAAGGTGCACTTTTGCTTTACGTTTTCATATAACAATGCCATTCCCATCTCTCCCAATGTGGGGCATGAATTTGCTGTCATGAGTGGACTTGCATTTTTTTTGGGAAAGAATATAATTCAGATTCATGCCCTGTAATGCCCTCAGGACCAATTTGTGAGAACAGAATCAGGGCTGCTTTCTCATCTTTACTTCTAATCACAAACTAGGTTGCTATGTCACTGATGAGTTTAGGGTAAGAAATGCTGAGTAAGATATACTGAATCCAATATGCAGTACTTCTTTGAAACTGTCATGCAGGAGCTGTGCAATGTGTTGGGTGAAGATTCAGTGCTCTTGGGAGTGCGGGAAGAGGTTCCTGTGGATACTTCATCTCCGTCTGAGTCCAACCTTTCTGATTGATATGTTCACCGCTCTGCATCCCAAGTTTATCATTCCTCATGTTGCCAAAGGCTTTCTTCAGTTACCAAACATGAGTTGGGACGACAAAGGGGCATTATTTTATTGGCATTTTTCTCATGGTGATAGTGTCTCATTCTATCCTAGTGTGTATCTAGTCATGGTTATATTATTATAACTATACTTTTCAAAATTGTGATAGGTATATGGATGCTATGCCAGTCACACATACAGGTTGCATTGTTTGTGATGATGCAGTGATAAACAAAGAATACTTGATTGTTCCACTCCACTGCAAAAAAAGTGTCAATTCAATACTGTAATTGAATGCATGAATGGCAGCATTTTGAGATTGGCTATGAAATGTCATTAGTGGTTGACATTTATGAACCCTTTTATGCAGGCTGGCAAAGTATCAGATTTGTTTCCATTAATACTTCCTTCAGACTGACCACATATCATTGAGACACAAGCTGTCTTCAACAGTATTAGAGGTGTCTTGCAATGTAAGGACCACCCCTCAGCATTCAACTTTCCCCCTAAAAAGAAAGGTGGAGATAAGAGAGCATTTAGGTTGGTAGTAAACCTGTCTGTGTGTAACCTTGTTCTGGCTCTTCCCTTAAACCATTGAGTTTTCACCTTTGAGCTAAACCATAGTTTTATACCAGAAGTTCTTGCAGTATTCTTGAGCAGGCAATCTAGTGTTACAAGCATGATAGTTGAGGGGGGAGGGAGAGTAAAAGTAATGTTGCACAAGGACCAATGACTTTGAGAGACAACAGACAAACTATGGGACCATGTAGAGAGGACAGAAAGGCTGGGAATATAGGTGATGGGATTACCCCTAGAAGTATGTGTGACTAAGGAATATGTAAGGCTGTATGAGGATGAGGAAAGTGTGTGGTGTTAAGTGCTTGCATGCTCTGCACAGAACCCTGTTATTGCTGAAGTTTGTTGAAATTGGTCTCTACAGGAAGACCAGGTGTTTCCCCTTTGAATCTGATCTGGCATCATCTTGGGCAGAAAAATTCATACAGGATTACGACAGGTTACATTTAGGTATTGTTAAATTCACCCTGGTTTGCTATTAAGGAATGAGGTGTTGATTCCATCTGCTTCTTTTGCTTTACAAAGGTTTTTTTCATGGGTATGCATGGTTTATTCTGTAATCCTTGGACTTTGAAGTGATGAAGATTAATTGCATCACTTGTCTATGCTAAAATCCTTTTAAATCCCCATGAAATACAGAACTCCACTTGCTGCCTTGCTAGAGATGTCTCTCAGAGATATCACTGACGAAGTATGAAATTTTTTATTGGTATGCCACTCTACATTGATAGCAAATTATGCTATTTCTATTCAACACATTGGAGATGATGGCTTTGAAGTGTCTCTTTGGTGTGTGGCCATATTCATTTGGGAATTTATTGCATGAGTTCCAATCTCCTCAAGTTAAAACTCACAACATATAAAATTCTCTCTCATTCCCATTATTTGACTTGGATTGAAGAGAACTGAAGTAATTAAAGCATCAGAATGAAGATAGGGTGATGCCTAAGATTTCAAAACTAAGGGATGCCATTTAGCTGCTGGTGCTGGAGTTACCAAACATTTGAGTAAAAGTGCAGAACTAGCAAAGCAGCAAGAGACTTTAGGCAGCAGTGGTTGGCTGCCATCAGCTCTGAGGTGGTAATTGTTGCCTGCATTGCTTCCACAACTCCCAATTTGATGTTGAAATAAAACAGGCAACCATCGACATGTAATGCTTGGACATACAGTCGTCCCTCGCCACTTCGTGCTTCGACTTTCACGGCTTCACTCTATCGCGGTTTTTTCAAATATATTCATTAAAAAGTTGATAGAGACAGTGAAAATGATACAGCGCGCGCTCGGTTGTCTGAGTCAATTATACACCCCTGTATTACAATTAAAATAAAAATTACTGTACAGTATTTGAAAAAACCGCGATAGAGTGAAGCCGCGAAAGTCGAAGCGCGAAGTGGCGAGGGACGACTGTACTCACAATTCGTAATACTTGTATTTGCCAGGTCACTGTTTCAGAAAGAAAAAGGGAAAGAAGCTTAACCCTGCTCGACAGGAGATGGTTGTGCTGTCGGGATGAAATCTGTCGGGATGAATGCTGTCGGGATGTACAGTGTACTGCTGTTTGATTGACCCTATGATACTCGAAAATAACACCGCTTCCAAATGCAACACGACTTCCACTGTTCCAAATAAACCCAAGTATCCTGCCTATCTGGAGAATGTGCAATAAAATGCTGACCGTTTCAGAGTGTCTCATCATCATCGAGTGTACCGACATTCAATTACGATCCTTTATATTAATTGCAGCATGTTAAATATGGAAGGGGGGGGGGGGACCATTGGCTAGGAGGAATGAGGGCCGGATTCGCAGCAATACTAAAGTTTCAATAAGTGCCCCTGGGCCCCCTATTACCTAGCGATTTACCTGGGGTAAATCGCTAGGTAATAGGGAGTCCAGTAGAACGGACAGGTAGAAGTGGCTGTCGAGATTTCTAGTAAAACGAAAAAGAGTCGAGAGAAAAAGAAGACGAACAGTGATGATCGCAAGACTAAATCTTCTTGAACTTCATCCTCTCCTTCAGCTTTCCCCTTCATGACATCCGCCTTCTCCCCTTTCCAGCTCTGTCACCAGCCGAACTCCCCGACTTTCTCAATTGTCCGAGACACAATGAAGTCATATTAGTAGTTTTTCGCCAAAACACAGTAGTTCTTGGAATTTCTAGACACCCGATGTATGAAAATATGGCAAGAGCGACACCTGTTGAACTATTTTTCACACACCCGGAGAGGAAACATTCGAGCAGGTGACAGACAGATGGTTCCTAAAAGTAGCACAGATTTTTGCCCCTGGTGTACCAAATCCACCATATAAAATGCGCAAGAGTCGGAGATGTTCCTTCAACACTTTTCAGACGTATAGTCTCACAATTTTGTCAAAAAACGATTTCATGTTGTTTTGTTGATGAATTGTACAGGTACAGAACGCAGTAATATCAGTAAGACTGGTATGATCGGAATGCGGGACGTAGATGATCAGCTCGATTGTCTTTTCACCCCTTACCTTTTCCTTGTACAGCATGTTTCTAAGCAAAGAGACGCTTTTTGCGTGCATCTCCAGATTCATATAGATGTTCTTGGTATTTGCAATTACGATTTCACTGGCCAATTAAATTGCAATTACTATTATTTTTGTATTTATCCGAACACGGATCGGATCTGCATTTCTGATTGGGTAATCTGCGTCCCATCAGACTGTAATTCAATTCCATGATCAGTCATCCTCAAAGTAAAATTGTAAACCTATCTCAATTAAACATCAGAAGCAGACTTATGAATTAACAAGCAGGAATTTTATTCCTCAAAAAATTTGTTAATGAGTTATGAATGAAATAATCTTAATTTTTGGTTAAGTATATTCGAAAATCTATTTATTAAGAAAGTCCTCAGTTCCCTACACAAGAGTCGGATGTTTTTTAGCTCCTGTTTCGCAGACGAAAATCCAAGAAAACGACCCAATTATGTAGTAATATCTTAAGACTTTACATTGTGAGGACGTCCTGGTACTTCAGTGAATGTTCGGCCTCCGACGCATTCGTTATTACGGGGCGATGCAAATCCACTGGAATTCGTGTCTGGGGTCACTGCGAGCAACTATCTTACTCGGTGTATTTATCACATTCCACGGCAACGTTTCTCCTTTTACTTTTCAAACCATCAATCTAACCATCTAATGCGTCATTTTTGGGTGGCATGCATACTTTTATCAGCAAGAGAAGCATAATGGGGTTTCTCCCGCCTTGGACACGAAGGACTAGAAACGTGACGTGTCTGAGCCTGACCTCCGACCCCCAGATCGAGTCACGACGTTTCGCCCACAAGATGGGGCAGAGAAGACGAATGAAACCGCGTCCCCCCCCTGGGGAAGTGTCGCATGAAATTTGTCATCTGAGAAACTCTCGATGAAATATCGGGAGATAAACAAGTGAGAGTTGAGAGAAGGGAAGGGAAAAGGAACCGTGGCAGACAGCCTGGCCCCAGCTGCACCGTTTTTCTGCTCCTTCGCTTCCCTAATGACTGAAGAAAATCCGTCCCTGACTTTCCCTTAAACACTAATCTTGTTTCCTGTGAAGGGAGGAAGGAAGGGAGGGGAGGAACGGATATAAATCACACTCTAGGCCTCGTTAGTTTTACCGATTCCTGCTAAAATAGACCGGATTTTATTTTTTTCCCCCACGTCTTGTAACAGTTTCAGAAGCTTCAACCATCCTCAGTGCATATACGAACTCGTACGATTGATTCGACCACCCCAGTCACATTGGGAAGGTAAATTGAATATGATAAAATTGGTATTCATACAGGAGTCAGACCACTGAAACGGTCTCATCTCTAAAAACGGCAATGAACCTATGAGATATCTAGCAGCAAACTGCGATCTTCTTGAGCTCACTCTTCCGCGGGTAGGTGTAGATCAAATCCTATTTGAGAAGAGAGTGGTTGAGTTCCTCGCGTAGCAAGAGGGCATCAACCCACTCATTTATGCCGCAAGAACTTTCATTGCGAGGTTTTTCATTCTCTATTTAGCTCTTCTTTATCATAAATATTTTCAGACAGAAACCTCATTCGCCCATATTTAGCCGTAGAGCGGTTCTGGAATTGCAGCATACCTACTACTATGTCATATTTTATCGCACAATTCCTGCAAGAATTTGTTTAACATACGAGGTACAGCTATCCTTCCATGCATCAGATAGGACGAAATCGAACTTCCCCCTTTCGGTGAGACAGAGTACAAGAACAGAAAAACTTGGCTCTGCTTCTACTGTCTATGGCACCGGGGATAAACAAAACGAAATTTCCCTCCATGTCAACGAGCAAGCCAGAAGAATTTTCGTAATTTCTAACACTGAATTCGCAATGATTTCCCACTAAAGAATCATGAAGCATTTATAATCGATTTCAAATACAAGAAATTTGAGTCAATGTATATTCCTCTAGGTAATATTGGGAGTCCAACTTCTTTCGCCCCTTCAGTCAGTTCATACTCGGCCCAT